CCCGCGTCCCCTGCATCGGCTGGCGGACTCTCAACCACTGCGCCACCGGGGAAGCCCTCTGAAGGATTTTTGAATTCTAAACTAAGGCATTCAGTTTTGCGTTACCTACTGCTCAACCCTACCCATACATCTCAGGTCCTCAGAGGATTTTGCATTTATTCTAATACAATTGTGAAAGAGAAATGAGCATGGAAAGTTTAGAGAAGAGCTTGTATCCTGGGGGTCCATGGCTAGCTTCTTGAAGTGTCCCTAAGATTGTATACAAAGTTTTGTGACAATGTGTATGTTCCTGGGAAGAGATCTGTGGCTTTTTTCAGATTCTTAAAGAGTTATATGATCAGAAGAGCTAGAAACTGATGCAGTGTTGAGTTGGACACAGAGTTCCCAAACTAAGGACATAGCATGGGAGTTGAAAAGGACAAATGAACTTGAAAGAGATTTATGATAGTGATGGTGGTGGTGACAATGATGATGGCGATGATAGCTAACTAACATTTATTGAAAACCAGATATTGTTCTAAGCAGTTTACGTTTGGAAAATCATCTTGATGAAACATGGTGACTTATTAGTTCTGACTATTGGAATGGGGTTAAGAGAAAAAGAAGAGTCGAAATTGAATCCCAGATTTCTAATTTGTGCCTGAAGTAATTTGTATTACCCACCTCCTACCCCCACCCTCACCCCAAGTTAGAGAACACAGGCAGAAGAGCAGACTTAGGATGGAACATAATATAAGCTTGAGCTTGAGAGATTTACAAAATGATAAAAAGGCTTCAGATGCTTAAAAAGAGAAAAAAGACCCCTGAAAACAATGATGGAGTTAAAGCCAATCTACCTCTCTTTTCTTTCCTCCCCAGAGATAACTACTCTCTTGAAGTTGTGTGTATTATTCCTATTTCACACTTTGACTGTGTGTGTGTGTGTGTTTTAGTAATACGCTTTAATTTTTTCTGTTCAATACTGTGTTTTCAAGAGTTACCCATGTTGTTACATGTTGATCTACTCTTTCACTTCTGTATTCATATACCACAATGTGTTTATCTGTGTTTGCAAGTTTGCCTACTGATGAATTTTCAGGTTGTTGTGAATTCTTCTCTACAGTAAGCTTCTTGGTACATGTCTCCTTCTACACACATGTAACATTTTCTTGGGATGTGCCTGTGTCTTAGGGACATACATCATCCCACTTTACTGCATGTTGCCAAATTGCTCTCTAAAGTGGTGGTAGCACTTTGAGAGTTCTCATTCCCTTCCATTCAACACTTGTTATTAAGTTTTTAATCTCTGTCAGTTTTTCAGGGGTATGAGATGGTGTATTGCTAGTAATTATTTGATTATGAGTGAAATTGAGCATCTTCTCTAAGTTTATTGACATTTCAGGTCAATCTTGTCCTTTGCCCATCTTTTGTTTGGATTGTCCTCTTCTCATTGTTTCATAGGAATTAATCATATATCCTCTATAGTAAGTATATATCTGTATATATGTGTTGCACTTATCTTCTTCCACTCTGTGGCTAGTTTTTAAAGAGATTACTTATTTTGTCATTTGTGGTATGTAAGTTTTTAATTTTAACCATCTTGTGTAATTTGTGTTTTTGTGTGTTTTATGTATTCAAGTAATCCCCCTGTATCCTGAGGTCACAAAGATGGTCACTTGTATATTTTTCTCAAAATTTAAAATTTTTACCTTTTACATAGTGGTATTTAGTCTATCTGGAGGTATTTTGAATGATGTGAAGTAAGAATTCAGTTTTTATTCTCTCTGTTAGGATAACTGTTGAATCCAAACACCGTTTTTCAACTAGTATATCTTTTTCCTACTGGTATGTAATGCCACCTTTGAAATATGTCAAGTTCTGATATTATTCATGAGTCAATCCTGGGCATTCTATTCTAGGGTGACCTATATTTCTATTCCTAATAAAAAGGTTTCAAAAGTTAGGGTAAGAATATGCATATACTAATAACATGTTAGAACATAGCTGAGAAAAGAAGAGCATATGAAATAAATGGAAGCATTACAGTGTTCTACAGACTGCTCTTGGCTACACCATAACATGAAGGTATTTTACTATGTTTATGATAATGCGTAAGATAGCCTTCAAATCTCTTATTAGATTTGAGGACGTTTTAGAGTACATTCTGATGAAATAATTGACAGAACCTAATTTATCAGAAAAGTCGGGATTTACTCTTTTTAAAAAATCTTCATTAAATTTTATTTTTTTTGATGTGAGCTCTGAACTGTGAGAGCATGCTGAAATTTTTCATTCTAATAGCATTTGACTTTCATATGTTTTCTCCAGCTTCAAAGCCCAAGGTGTTATAGACGATGTCGTCAATAGTGTAATAGACCATATACGCCCAGGTCCCTGTCGCTTGGATTGGGACAGCTTAATGACCTCATTGGATATTTTGGAGTACTTTGAAGAGGTATTTGTTTAGAAATGTTGCTTCAGATTGTGTGTGTGTGTGTGTGTGTGTGTATGTGTGCGCATGTGCACGTGTGTATACTTGCATTCATTATATTCATTGCTTTGAGAATAAGTAGTCATGGCAAAGATCTCACAGGGGAATCCTTGCTGCCTTTTAAAAAGCTTGAGTTTCCTCATATTAATAATGAGTGTTAGTCAGAACTGAGTTTGTTTTCTGCAATAGCTTTACCCTTGCTTCTTAAGAAAATCATCAGTGTCTTTAATTGTAAAACTTTAGCTGAGGTTCTGAAATCTAAAATTCTGAAAATACCACCATCATATTCAGGTTTCTAGGTAATAGTATGTAGGTTTTCCATTAACATTTAGCCAAAATCAAAGATAAAAATGCCACCTTAGGCATTAGAGAATTATGTAACCTAAGTGGCTTGCTTTCTTCGTCTGTTTTTATTAATTCATTCCTTGCCATGTTTGAATTCCTTTATTGACACATTTGGTGTTTTAGTCAAAGTACTTGTGGATTTTATCTTATACACGTACAGTCTATACTACCTGCTTCCACTTTTATCATATAGGATAAGAGGTGACTCTACTGAAACAGAGATTTGGATACTGGGTAACTTACCTCTGTGTTTTGATTGCATATCCTCTTCAAGTCCATACAGTCGCTGTGAGATATAGAATAGAGATCTAAACCTGTCAGAATCACTGTAAGAAATGTTATTAATATTTATTATAACACATTTTAAGTGAGTGTTAATTTTTTACTAAAGATTAACTTATGATATATGAGTCTATGTATGTATTTCCTATAGTACTAACAGCTGTTACCTGTTCTCTTTCAGAATTGCTGTGTGATGCGTTATACTACTGCTGGTCAGCTTTGGAATATAATTTCCCCAAGAGAGTTTGTTGACTTCTCCTATACTGTGGACTATAAAGAAGGGCTTTTATCCTGTGGTAATTGTCTCAAAACCTTTTACTTTCTTAAAGAAGGGCTTTTATCCTGTGGTAATTGTCTCAAAACCTTTTACTTTCTCTCGGTTTGTTTTAAATTTTGAGTTTTCTAGGCTGGATGTTTCTTTCTACACAAGATACATTTTCAACTTTCATACTTATTTTTAAAAAATTCATTTTATTTAATTAATTTATTTTTGGCTGCGTTGGGTCTTCGTTGCTGCGCATGCACGGGCTTTTTCTAGTTGTGGCGAGCAGGGGCTGCTCTTTGTTGCAGTGCGTGGGCTTTTCATTGCGGTGGCTTCTCTTATTACGGAGCTCGGGCTCTAGGCACGTGGGCTTCAGTAGTTGTGGCATGCGGGCTCAGTAGTTGTGGCTTGTGGGCTCTAGAGCGCAGGCTCTATAGTTGTGGCACACGGGCTCAGTTGCTCCGCGGCATGTGGGATCCTCCCGGACCAGGGATCGAACCTGTGTCCCCTGCGTTGGCAGGCAGATTCTTAACGACTGCGCCACCAGGGAAGTCCCCATAGTTATTTTATAATCAATAAGCTCTGTTTGCAAATGCTAAACCCTAGGGATTAAAATAACAATATCGAGAAGGTTTTTGCAATCTTTCTGATGAGTTTTTGTTCCCCGTTACACAGTATCCTTCAGGTCACAGCTAACAAATATGGAACGCATGACTGCCTCTAAGAAAGGGATCTAGTCGTTGGGTTTCCTTCTAAGTCACTCTCAAGAAACAGCTTCTTAGTCATATACTTAGAAAAAATAGGCTTGGTATGTGTTAGAGTACTTTTCCTTCCTTGATCTGTGTAATATTTTTCTTTTCAAAATTAAAGATACTATTAGAAGGCTCCTGCTTTCTAAAATATATCTATAGGTAAATTAATATTTTTGTATGTACGATATATTTGAGTTGGCAGTTGTAGGTACACATCTACCTGTTTAATCTGAACCAGCCAGAACCAAAGTTTGATATGGTAGTGCCTGTGGGGAGCAGTGGTGGTACATAGGTTTGATTATTAGTACCTTGAGGCCTGGCTGCTACAGAGAAGATTTGTAGTTTCCAAGGAGTTACCAGGATGACATGATGCCATTTATTCTGAAGGGATTAGAACTTCCCCATTACATATCTACCAGCCTCTGTCAGAATTCCACTTAGTAATTATCTTTTTCATTCTTCCACGGTCACTCTTGGGGCTTAATTTTCATCTACATGGATAAGAAGAAAAATATGTAAATAAGAAATCTGATAATATTTTTTAGTGAGAGTTTTAGATTAATGTCAGTCATTGCTATTAATAGTGTCATTTTAAATTGCCTTGTAGGGATAAGTCTTGACTGGAGTGAAAAGAGGTCAGAATTTGTTCGTGGATATAACCATCCCTGTGGTTGGTTTTGTGTTCCTCTTAAAGACAGTCCAAACCGGAGTCTTTTGACAGGCTATATTCAGACGGATCTGCGTGGAATGATTCCCCAGTCTGCAGTAGATACAGCCATGGCAAGCACTTTAATCAACTTCTATGGTGATTTACAAAAAGCCTTACAAAAGGCATAATATGTTTAAACTTATAGTATTATATTCCCTGAATCAACTCTCTCTCTTAGCTGCATGGCCTGTAAAAATCATCCTTTCCTGTCTTCTGCATAGCCTGTAGAAAATTTTGAGATGTTTTTGGTTTATTTTATTCCTAAAGTAAATAGCTATCTAGTGTGGGCATTTCAGTTTTCCTAAACAGTTATTTGCACATTGTTTGGTATGGTGATATGTCTAGGAATGGAGAGTATGACAGAAATCCACCAAGAAGTAGATATAGTTCTTTGACACAAACTCTTAAGAAATTGAATAGTGCCTCAGTATGAATATTTTGGCTACTTAGAAATTAGAGAAAGCCAAGCTTCATGCTGGTAGGTTAAAATCACCTATTTTAGAGCTTTATGAACATTCTGTAAAAGTTTAAATTTTGGGAGGAGTTAAATATTAATGCTTTACTTCTCATATGCTCTATGAGTTTAACAATATCTTGGACTAAAGAAAAAAAGCTCTTCTCTATACTTTATATAGAGTATATCTCTATACTTTATAAAGATGAACTTCATTGTCAGTTGACTACTTTACCTATTGAAAATATCAGAAATAAGAAAAGAATAGGTATCATAGTAAAATGCAATTCAGTTTTGATACCTGGATAGTATTATTTTATAGATATCTTTAAAAATGTATTCATATCTTTATGGGCTTTTATTTTGGGAGTCTTAAAAGCATTTATGAATGAATAAGACAGTGTGAAAAACTGCCAGATATGTGCTGGGACACCACATTGATTGGACAGTATTCTGGGTTATGTGAAATGGGTGGTGGTATCCAATACTGACCAATAGAGAATCATCTCTCTAGAAAGTCAAATTCAGTGAATGTTTTATACATGTTTGAGTTTTAAATGTGTCACTCAAGTCATAAAGTATAACTACGTCATAAGCATTCACAATTGTGATGTAACTTCAGTCTGGAACTAGAACAAATGCATTCATAGATTTATCTAAATGCCTGGATGAGTCATTTTATAACTAGAATGGACTATAATATGTCTCTCGATTCTGTGGCTGCATTAAATGAACATTCCTAAATGATTTTAACATTCCACATGGTCTTTGACTTTTGAACTATCCACCTAGTTTACATCTAAGATGAGAACTTGAGGGAACTCAGTGTCCGTGCAAATTTTTGTCTATATTTATATTTGTGTACATGCACACATCTTGAAATCTGTTCCAGTGTTCAATGTGAGTTATTTATGTGTTATTATTACTGTTCCCACTGTTTCATTTTATCTTTTTTTTTTTTTTTTTTTTGGTTAATATGGGGTAAAGAGAGCTCTGGAAATAGTATTTACTAGATAGGCCACCAAAAGCACAAAACTGTATAGTGGTTCAATTGCATGAAGGTGTGATCTGTGTTTTACTTTCCTGTGTTTTCCTGAGTGTAAAGAAAGCATAAGTCATAGTTCTTCAGACCCATTTTGCTAAAGTGGAAAAAGTAGAGCTGACTTATTTTTATTGTTTTGGTATGGAGATGATGTTCAAAAAAAGCAAAAGGTGGCAGCACCATAATATCCATAGTGAATAATCTCACAAATTTTAGATTGAAAATAGTTTGTTTCAAGGTCTGATAGAAGCAATGCACAAACGATCCTATGCTCTTAACTTGAAATTTATTAATCACCAATATGTTTTTCCAAATTGACTATAATTTTTGAGCTGCTGGATTTCTCTGCTACTTTTTTTTTTCTTGCAATAGGGAAAGAGAAATGAGCAGTTTAGCTTTCAGTTTCGCATGGAAATTGTTAAATGTTAATTTTGACTCAATCTATTGTCTTTTATTTGGTTTTATTAGTGTAGAGCAGGAGGTTTCTTACATTCCAGTATTCAGTCTAGCATGACAAAATACCAGCAGACGTCCAATTATAGGGTGCCCAGATTGGGTAAGTTTGCAACAAGATGTACATTATTATAAGGGCTATTATCGCCTGAGCTGGGTGCCACTAGTAAACTGTCCACTTTCAGCTACTCTGTGTTCCCTTTGTTTTTTTGTAACTTATACCTCCAACTAGTGATGACATAATCCACTGTTGAATGAGGACCCATTGCAGGTAACAAGACGCTCATGGAAAAATTTTCATTGCAATGTTGAGCCGTATGATGGATTGAAGAATTATATTTGAATTACCTGAAATGTATATGCAGCTTCTAGATGGCACTTTAAATCTGCTGGGCTCTAGCTGTGTACTTTAAAAAAAAAAAACAAACAGCTTTATTGAGGTATAATTTCCAATGCTATACAATTTACCTGTTATAAGTATACAATCCGTTGATTTTTGAATACACTTATAGTTGTGCAGCCATCACAACAGTCCAATTTTAGAATAGTTCTATCACCCAAAAGATCCCTTTTGCATGTTTGCGGAATCATACATAACCAAAGTTTAGCACAGTTGCTAGTATACAGAAGATGATGGAAAAGATTAGAGCACGTTTTGTTTGGTTTTGTTTTCAAGAGTAGAGGTGTATTTGATTCTAAGCTCAGGAATCTTGTGATAATGTATTACATATCTTATGTCAAATATCATAATGATATGAAATTTAACAATGTGGATTGGGATTAATATTAACATGTAATAGAGTCTGCTGTTTCTATAGCAGTGCTGTAGAATAGAAAAATAATGTGAGCCATATATGTAATTTAAAATTTTCTAGCAGCCGCATTAAAAAAATTAAAAGAAACAGCTGAAGTTAATTTTAATAATACAGTACATTTCACTCAATATATCCAAAATATTATCATTTCAACAGGTAATCACTGTAAAAATCTTTAAGATAGCTTACATTCTTCTTTTATACTGATTTTTTGATTTCTGATGTATATTTTACTAATTTGGGCTAGCCACATTTCAAGTTAATTTTAATAACTTTTAATAACACACAGTTCTATATTAATCTGTATATTAATTTGTCTTTCTATAATATGAAGTAGAGAATTTCATAGAATCACTCTCTTAAATACAAAATCTTTTCTGTTCTCTGAAGCCTTCAGTGCTTGCTAAACGTGGACTCCTTAACATTAGAAATAAATCAGTTGTAATTGTCAGTAAAATAAAAATTACAGCCCCAAAAGATTTTCCTTTGAAGATAATTAACTTTTCATAGGGCAGTTGATGAAATGAAAGAATATAATCTGCCGTGTAGTTATGTGGTTGATTATTTTCTCTGGCTTATAGCTAGTTTGTATTAGAAACACGTGTATGCAGGAAACACTTGGCATGGTACTGTTTTCAGTCCATGATACCTATTTTTTTAAGGAAATTAGTTTCATACAAGAAAAAAACAATTTATCATAAGTGATACTTCTGCATGAAATATTAGCTTGTATTGATAATCCTTGATTAATCCTTGAAGTTTAACACAATACGCAGCAAAAATAATTATGAGAATTTAGTGTTCTGCAGTTATGTATAGTATAAACTGCTAGAGTATTAAAGACAGATTGTTAATGTTAAAAATCTCTTCATTTCACTGTTCATTGAGGCTGGATATATTTGAAACTGTAGATTTCTATATGTAAAATTATCTCCCAATAAAAAAGTCCTTTCTTACTCTCCTCCCTCTTTCTTTCCTAACTGAAGGACATTTTATCAACACTCAAGTTGAATTAAATTAACCTCTTAAGCTAAAAACTCTGTAATGGAGGTTGCCTCTGGAGAAGATAGGAAAACATTGCCCAATTTAAACTCCTAATGTCTATTGAGCTTTTAGGTATGAGTAATTCCCTTTGATGTGGATAAAAGCTTTACCTGTTTATTTAAGAGCACGCTAGCATCCTTAGAATCAGTTGTTAAAATCCAGTTTCTTTTAATTAAGTGGATACTGTAGCTATCCCAAACCTATGCATAAATTAACAGAACCCAGAAAAGCTAGGGGACTTGACCAGGTGTCCATTAGACCCTGTGCTGTATAATTACTTGTCCAGTCTATCTCCCATGCCTTTCTTATTCAAATTCCAGAAGTAGGGGATGGTGGGATCTGAGCTTAGGAGAAACATTAGCTTAATCCCAGAGCACAGGAAATTGGAATTATAATTTCTGTATTATTTTGTTGTTTCCAAAGATTTACATGTATGGTTAAATAAAAATTCATCTCTTGCAATTCAATAAGAGCTATACTATATATAGATTTCATTTTTAAGAAGTTTATATTTCTTTTATGGGCCAATGTGTAAAGCTGGAACCTTCATTAAACTAATGAGAGCATACATTAATATAATAAAATGTGTATTTATTTAAAAATTTCTATGAAATATATCAGAATAAAATTTCTAGACGCTTGTGTATTGACCATTTATACTAAGTTGCTTTAACCTTATCTGAATTTAAAGTATGTAGTTTAGCTTCCTGAACTCTTATAAAAGAAAAATATAAACTGGAAAATTAAGATTAACAATGCATATGCTAATCCCCTGCCAATGTCTCATATAATATTAGCCACAATACTGCTGAATTTTGATTTGCTATTATATAGCAAGGATGATGACATATTCTGCTCTTACCACTGTAACATATAGGTAAGGTTCATTGTATACATTTTTAAATAATTGTACTAACTTGATTAGCAATTGTAGTGATGATTTCCTTTGGAGTTGAAAAAAGGTGGAAGTGATTACAAAGGAACTGTTGATCTATATTATAAGAAAGCAGTTATGGATGCTGTGGGAAATATGCAGTAGGAAATATGACTATTAAGTGGTTTAAACAAATATAGAGTAGGGAATTCCCTGGCGGTCCAGTGTTTAGGACTGATTGAACCTGCTGAGGGTTCAATCCCTGGTCGGGGCACTAAGATCCCATAAGCTGTGCGGTGTGGCCAAAAAAACAAACAAACAAAAAACCAAAAACAAAAAAACACACAAAAACCAAACCAAATAGGGAGTTATTTTCCTCATTTAATAAAAAATCTGGATGTCGGTAATTATTAGTATTAGCATGTCAGGGCCAGTGTTTCTTCAGTTCTCATCTTTCCCTCAGATATGATAAGGTGACCAGCTAGCCCTGGAAATTACATGTGCATTCAAGTAAAGAAGAAGCAGGGGAAGGCATGGCACTACTCATCCGTCTCTTTTATCAGGAAAGTAAAAGCTTTTCCAGAGCCTCCAATAGCTTTTCTTTCTAGTAGTCTGGGTCACGTGACTACCACTAGCTGGGAAGGCAAGTATTTCCAGCCTCTTGGAGAAAGGGTTGGTAATGACTCTGGCGAGCCAATCATAGCATCTCTCAGTGGGTCACCTCTGGAAAGTGTGTATAGAGCTCCTTTAAATGTCAATAGGAAAATGATAGACTCACAAAACAGAAATGAAAATAGCAAAGTAGTCCTTCACTCCTCCATGAAACATTGATTGGGCCCCTTCCGTACGGCAGATTCTACATAGCTGTCCGTCATTGAGGTAATGAGGTGATGGAAGGTTGTTAATTAATGGTTGGTGTCACATGGCATCCGATGTGAATGACTTATGTCTATAGTACACCATTTCTCCTCCTCTGGAGTAAAGGGTCCACTATGGATGAAGACTTCTAGACCAGGAGATGACAGAAAATTGCTGGAAAATATCAAATGCAAATGTATCCCAGGAGATAGAGGGTGGATCCATGTTACTTGTGTTAGCTGTACAGGTGATTAGTGGGGTGTAGTATTCTGCCAATAAAAATTATGGAGGAAGCATAGTGTACAAATACCAAAACTGGCTTTTTACTCATTATTTGGATGGTACTGTTCTTTTTCAGGAGCTTTACCTTCCTTCTTAGGTTTTGCTTTAGTGACATTCCTTAAGTACAAGCAGCTGGTTTTTTATTAAAGGAAGTAGTCCAGAGATTGTGCAAAACCAGGTTGAAATAAAAAGATGTTTCATCTAGTCAAAAATGGACTTGCGGATGGGAGAGGTTTTTGTTTTCCTCTAGCATTTCCCTCAATTCAGAAGTCATTGTTTAGGTGAGGATTTTGGACCTAGTAGTAGTTAGTAGCAAGCTGCAATTCTGAGAGTGAACCTCACTGACATATTATGCCTTCCCCCCAATATTTCACAGAAATGTTTGCTAACTGGTTGGGTGGCCAAGCTCAAGAAAGACTTTTAGTTCTTTTTACAACTATTGTTGCTAACAATCAGCTTCTTAGGAGGGAACATAAAGGTCTTTCCCTTTCATTCTCAGGTCCTGCAGGTTTGAAAGTATCATAATGAAGGGACCACTGAATATCATTTGGCCCGACAATTCCACATTAGGATTATTTCCTTAGGATAGATTTCTCCAAACTCAGAAAAAAGCTTTATGTAGTGTTAACTGAGAAAAGAAAAAGAATTGAGAATGGATTATTATGCAGCTATCAAAATTGTTTCTGAAGATTATACAAAAAATGCCTGCTGTAGTGGTAGGTTGACATAAAAAAGTTACAATATGATTAAAGTCTGTAAGAAAAAAATAAACTAGTGCAAGATTTTAAAAAAGACAATGCTTGTCTTTGGAAGGCGTTCTTATGGTAATCTACTTTTCTGCATTTTCATATTTTTATAATGAAAATCAATTTTTATATGAATCGCTGGATTGACTTTGTATCCAGTGAATTGACTTCTCAGTCGTGAGAGCACTGGACTAGGAGATGGGCAACCCAGATCTCTTCTCAGCCACTAACTGCGATCTTAGATAAGTCATTACCTCTCTGGGTGTTACTTCTCTTTAATAAGATGAGCTTGTTGGGTTAAATGATTACTAAGATCCCCTTTTAACTTTATGATTTTATGACATCACTGTATAATATTAAAAATGCTGTGAAACTCAAAGTATAATGTTGCCTGAGAGAATGGAAAAACAATCAAGAAATGCTTCGACTTCATATTTCAGATATAAGGAAAATGTCCATTGTGTCACTCTTGAATTGTGCTAACATTTCAAATCACGGAATGCAAAGTATTGGTGGGCTCTTAGATGATTTATTATCATACCATACATGCAGATTGCTTTACAAGTTTCCCAGCAGTAAGGTGTATGCTTCTTTTGGCATGCTCTGACAAATCTGAATGAACTTACACAAAGCAACATTGGCCCTCACTAAGGTCAATTTCAACAGTCTCCCAACATCCATTTTGCCTCATGTCACATATTCTTCCGTTATGTTCCTGGGAAACACCAAAAAATGAGCATGTTTACTCATTTACTTGGGTTGTCTAACCTGAGTCCAAGAAGAAGCCAGTTGTCTGTGGCTGTCATGTTGTCTGCCCCAGGCTTTGGGCAGCTCAGAGCCAGTGACTCTGATGTGTCCCATATGCTGGAAGCAGGGACTGTCAGTCACTGCCATCGAACAAAACGGTAGCTCAGTCAAATGCAAACGGGCATGATTTTGATGAATTCTCTGTAAACATTCTCTATATTTACATTTATGGCCAGGTCAGACTTACATGTTTACCTAAAAAATATTGTAATATATCTTTGTATTAAGGAGTCAATAGCACCATTTCGACAGGTTTTAAAAATGAAATGTTCACAGCTCCTTTTCCAGTACTTTTCAATCAGAAATTGGGAAGGCAGCCTATGATCTTGGCGGTGTAAACTGCAGTATTTACACTTTGTCTTTGTCCTCCAAATCCTACATGTATTTGTTTTTGGCTAATGATTTGCAGTCTAAACTAGTGGAGATGTAGGTTTCCTGTATAGAGTGGTATTCCATTATCTAATCCTCCAAGCTGCCGTTGAGCTGCTTATGTCCTTTTAGTCCAGAAAACTTTCGACAATGCAGCAGTACAGATTCCTCCTCTAGGAAAAACTAGAAAAGACATACCAGATACTGTCACCTAAGTCTGAAAACCCTAGTAAGTAGTATTCCTTTCTCAACGCCTGCTAAGTTGTGTTTTCTGTACCCCTACAGTATCTCTACGTCTTAACTCCTCTTCCATCACTCAGATGATGGTCAACCGTTGTCCCTTTCTTCGTTTCATTTGCCTGAATAATATAGCCAGTTACTAATCACAGACATTATCTGAAACAAGCAAAGTGGCAAGACAACTAGAAGTATATATACTGTAATGATTATGTTTTTAAAAGTTTCTTGAAGATGGATGTAAAATACTGCCTGCAATGAGTGATATAAAAAGGAAATTATAGAAAGGTGTATAAAGGGGCAAAAGGGAGAGATGGAGACGAAAGGACTTCACAGGATCGGCTTGAAGTTTGGGGAAAGCAGCTCCGAAGATTTTAAACTTCATTGTCTGAGGCTTAACACAGGTTGTCTTTTGAAGTCTAAACTTTCAGGTATAATTCTATCTTAGATCCTGCGGGAATTGCCCTTTCAGGTCAGATAATTTAAAAGGTTAAAATAACTGTGAAAGAAGTAACCTTGACGTGGCCTCCATTGGCAAAGCTTTAGCAAGTAGTTAGGTGATCTTCTAGTCACCGGGAGTTATTCGGATACTGGAGTTTTGCCAAAGTTACTCAAATAATCACTATCTTCTTTTACTCTGCTTTGTCAGTGGAGATCTCGCCAGTGCAGTTTTGGCTTTTAGTGACTGAAGCTTTATTTCAACTGGTGACTTGCAAAAATGTCTTTGATGTGTTGGGTGATTTTTATTCTGCTTGGGGACACACCAGATTAGCCACGTATGTAGGAGATCACAGAGGGCTACATGCTCTGAGGAAATGCTGCACAAATGTCTACCCAGAGTAAGAAAGGGGTGAAGAAGTCTAATTCAACTTTGCACAAGATCTGATACTCTTATGCAGACTTAGCAACACTTCCCTTCAGATTTCAGTCTTTCACACCCAGCATTGTTCCTTCAACACATTCCTCCACTCTGCAGATTTCTCAGCCAAATGTTCTGCCTTCCTTCTCCCTACCTGCAAAGGTTCTCCCCATCCTTTATATTTAGCTAATATTCCCAGGAAGCTCCCCTTGATCATTCCAAGCAAAGGGGAGCTTTTCCTGCTTTCCATCCCTGGAGGGCTTACTGCCTGCCTAGATTTAGCACAGGCTATATGTACACTTGTTTTTTCTCTCCAACGACAAAGCTCAATCCTAGAGGGTAGCATGGGTTTAATTCAACTCTGACTCTTTCATTGTACGTAATTGTTTTTCAATGAAAGTTTACTGAGAAAATGGGTCCCTGGCGTGCGCTGCTCCTAGAAAGCTTCAGAATCACCGAATCATCTCCTTAAAGTGTGCTTGCGATGTAGGCCTAATATTCCCTAAACTACACTGTTTAGTTTTTTATTCTGGGAGGAAAATTAGCTACTGGCTTTGGTTTACTCATTTCTAAGGGAAGCTGGTGACCCAGATATTGAGAGAAATTTTAAAATAAGTTTAGTCCGTTAACAACTGCCTTCAAACTCTGAGCAATCAAGAAAAATGGGTAGGTGGGAATGTGGAATCCTAATCTACATTTTACCTTTTCCCTCTTCCATTCCGGTAAAGTCTCCCTCCTACTCACATCAACCATGAGGAGCAGGCAGACGATTCATCTCTTTTTTTCCTGAGTTCTATAGTGTATCCAGTGGCTACATCATATTGATTGCTGCAACAGTTTAAAGAAAACAATATATTATTTAATTAGAGTCATGATATAATTTTAGGTATTCCTAATAATAAGCTGATAATAGGTTTTCTACTCAATATCTCATTTGTAACCTTTTGGCTATAGATGTTCAAAGTCGAACACAAAGGTCATGCATGCCTACATTCTCAATATCTGGGCCACCTGCTTCCCTTAAGGCAAATATTGTGGAATGAATAACTTCTCTGTGACAGAAATAGACTAAGAAAAGGGACCCTCTTGGATTTCTAAATATGTAAGAAAAGGAAAGGAAAGCATTTATTTGCTTGAGGCCTTCTCTTTCCAAAGAAGTGAAATATATAACACTCAGAAAAACACAGGGATTGGAAAGTAGCTTTCTTACATTAAAAAGTTGGCTATTTGCCTATTTCCTGAGCTATTGATAAGCAAGTCATTGTCATAGAATGCCACATAATAAAGTATGTTATTTCCTAAAAATGATTAAATGAAAATCCAATTGCTATTAATTACTTGAAAATATTCTGAAGGATTCAGAACCAAAGGGGGCTCTCATTTCTTGGCTTACTAAGTAACAGCTGCAGATTGACTTAAATGTGGGGAATACAAAATGTCATTTACATGATTTTAAATAAAAGGATCAAATTTCTAAAACGTGCTTGATGTGCTAGAAATCTAATTCCTCTCTCTTAAACAAGTCAATTCGTACTCTAAACTTTTCTTTTCAGGAATGATGCAATTTTGAATTTTTAGTTCTGTAGGGAAATTTTACTGTTAAGTTGTACTTCCAGCAAAATTATTGTTGAGACCATCTGCACAGAAACAAACCTCTCCTAACTTCCTAAGAAGCAAATGGGATAAGAACCCTAAGCTAAGGAGAAGAAATCTGGAATATGGGAATCTGTATTCCTAGATGTTACCAAAAAGGCAGGGTGCCATGAAAAACCAGGGTCATCAATTATTTTCTGTAAAAGGCCAGATAAACATTTTAGGCTTTTCTGGGCCATACAGTCTCTGTTGAAACGACTCCACTCTGTCCTAGTAGCATGAAAGCAGCCATAGCCAATGTATAAATAAATGAGCATGGTTGTGTTCTGATAAAACTTTATAAAACAGCGCTCTGATGGATTTGGTCCGTGACCTATAGTTTGCCTGACTCTTGAAAACTGATCTTTGGAGATTTAACTTTATTTCCTTGGGTAGTTATGTGGAAATTACTTTTTAAAAATGCACTTGTAAATTTTATGTGTATATCACAAAGACCATAGATAAAAGAATGATTGTCATTCAAATGAGTATAAACGTTAGCCCCTAACTTGTTTACTAATAATCCCTTTTGTCTGTCACCTGTCTGCTGTTCCCACTCAGTAAACTCAGAGGACATTTTAACATGTCAAGGGAAACACACAGCAACATCAGTCAGACATGGAATGCACTACTACTATTATGTTGTTTGGACCTAACTACTTAAAAAATGGGCATGTTAGGTAATTCTTTTGGCTTGGTAGGTGGGGGTCATGAAAATATTACTGAAATTAAGGGTGCATGAATATAAACATTTTGGGAACTTCTGAAATAATCTTGACAATAAAAATCATACTCATGAATATGCTATTTGTATGCTACTGTATATTAGCTACATGATAGGCTATAAAAATAGGTCAAGTTAAAAGCAGGCAGTTATGAGATGACAGTTGTCACTTTATAGTCATTCTTACTTGTATCCTTTACAAACCAGATTAACTACCATACATGTATCAAGGAAAGGACAAAGAAAGGACAAACTTAGTAAATTTTTATCATCCACAACTGATTGTCAGAGTGAGAGAGTGCTTAGGGAAAACAACAGCTTTCAAAAATTCTAATATGAAGCCTGTTATATTTGAGTAGCCCAAAATAATCTTTTAAATGGAAAATAAATATTATATAATCTGACTAAAGATTAACTATCTGTCATTTTTAACACACTGAATCACAGAAAAGGCTGCGCAGATACAAATATCCCATACCCATGGGTATTCCAGGTCAGTTTTCAAAATGTGCTGAAAGCAACTAGTTAAGAAGAACAGTATGATTTTGCTGTCTTAGCATTGCTGTTTAGAGTTTCAAACTAAATTCTGGGCCACCAAAGACTCCATATTTCTTCGACCAGTCTGGGATACTCCTTCCAGGATTTTAGAGGACTTCAAAATTCGAGAGGGCAGCTTGATGGCCATAGGGATGGAAGAAAACATTGATCTGGGATAAGTGGTAGCAAACCAAGTCATGGGAAGAGCAAATGATTGGTGAAATCTCATTTTCCATTACTGACTAATGGCACTGTACCGATATTCAAACAGTATCACTGGAAGAGGTGTTTCCCATTTGGCTCATTTGAGCTCAACCAAGACAGATGCCTTGAGTCTTCACTAGAGCAATGTCTGATTCCTGTCAAGGACTCACATGGTCCACTCTCATGGCAAGGCTTCCTCCTTGTCCTAGGTAGACCTCTGGGCCAGGTGACAGAGAAAAGACTGAATCTTGAAGGAAGTTAAATCACACAATCAAAGCCTCTAGAGTACACCACAGAGAGTGTGTGAAAATTAGAATTTTAAACAAGCAAACATAAATTAGTCAAGTTTGTTATTGCTCTCCAAGAAAAGTATATAAATGGTTGGGCTATGTGAGCTGAGACTATATTATCTGATCTCAGGTGATATTTGAAAGTAATGATGACAAAAACTGGCCCTTAACAGATCAGGATATAGAAAGAAGAAATGCTGAGCTTGGTTACTATGGGTGGATAGCTGATCTCTCTCCAGTGATCTTTTAGGTTCTTCTATTTGTCAAGGAGCCAGAAACTCACCCTGAGTTGTGCCAGGGGAAGAAAAGAACTTTGAAAAAGTTTTATAGAAAATTATTGGTTACATTTCTGCTTAACATGTGGTTATGAATATTATACCAATATTGAGATTATACGTGCATAAATGTTAAAAAAAACAACAGTGAAGACACACATAGAGTCTAACCAGTAAGCAGTATTTAACCAGTAAATGCTTAAATGTTAGCAACGACCTTGATCAGAGACATATCAGTGCTGAACATTAAGGAAATTTAAATATGACCTAATAGGCAGTAATTACAAGGATATTACAAATCCTATTATGTAAGTAGATGTCGGAAAAGTTTGCACCAGCTAAAGTAGACCTAGATAACCAGACTGAATACTCTGCAATGACAAGTAAATTACATAATGGCACTGTAATTATGTAATTGACTCTTCTCAGTATATTTATGTCAATTTATGTGGAGTCAGCCTCATCAAGAAAAACCTAGTGCTGATTCACTTTTTTGACTTGTTTTTGCATTTGCTTTGCAAAGACAATCCTAAAACAGAATAAATGATTTACTGATTTTATCCTTTGCCTTTTTTGGCATTTACTTCTTTTATTTTCCGATTTGAAATGCAACCAGATGCTTCTGTGAAACAACTGAATTATGAAACAAAATGGCTTTCTCTAAATTTTCAGTCGATAGGCAATCTTCAAGCAGTTACCTTTCATGTGCAACTGGAAATAGGGATTGCTAAACATTCTAAATTACAAAATATGTTTAAAATACTATGTAATTGAGGTAACAGTAAAAGGCAAACTGTTCTTTTAAAGTCTGCCACTAAAAATGGCTATAGAACCTTGAGGTTTATTCTAAAATAGCAATATGTAAGAAAATTCCAAAAAGTCTTTTGAATCCATGTGTAATGGCAGAGTTGATTAAACTCTTCTAAGGAAATATAAAAAATGCCAGCGGATGGTCATATTCTCATTTTAGGGATAACTGGGGTGATATCATCCTCATCATACAGTCTTTATCATGCAAATTTGGTATATTTCAGAAGATTTCTATAAACAATATTGCCTGCAATACAAGGATGGTGTCCAGCCTTGTTGGTGGCCAGGCCTACGAAATCCCACTAAGATTCTGTGTGCAGCCCTTCCTGAATGAGGACACATGGTTCGCCCACAGAAGATTTTGGTATGTGAGAACACGATTGGCTTCATGGCAGTACTCAGGAGACGCTAGCCTGTAGTCAAGATTCCAGGGCCCAAAGAGAGGAACTGTAGCCAACGGACAACTTGCCAATGCCCAGGAACGTTCTCTAACAGTCATGCTGGGAAACACTTCTCCTCTGAAGCACACGAATAAGTAGACGTGGCCAACAGAGTTTTTACTCATTTCAGTCTATGACATTTCTGAAACATTTTCTTTTTGGCCTCCTACCAACTCATCAGTGTAGAAAACTGAGGCAGCTCAAATCTAAGCATAGAAATTTGTCTGTCATTTTGCTTTGAAAGTGCTCTAGACCAGCGCTCTTCTAGTACCACTGTAGCCACTAGTCACATGTGGCTGTTGAGCACTTGATGTACTAAAGGTGTAACATAATCCTTCTTTTGAAAACTTAGTACAAAAATAAAAAATTTAAAAGGTCTTGTTAATTTTTCATATTGATTATGTATTGGAATAATAGTATGGATATATTGGATTAAAATATAGTTAATTTTACCAGCTTTTTTTTTTCTTTTTAAAATGTGGCTAGGAGAAAATTTAAAATTACATATGTGGTTTGTATCATCTATATTAGGCAGCACTTGTTCTAGACTATAACTTCTACAACCATATTATTCTAATTTCTACCTTATTTATGTGTTCATGGCACAAATGAGCTCTTACGGTTTGAGAAAAACCACTGGGATTCCAATTAGACTTTTTAAATGGGAGAAATAATTCAAGATTGTCCTTCTCTATGGCAAAATAGTCTGGTTTATCCTATGTATCTGAACTTATCTGAGAACAAAAATCAATAATGTAATAACTGTCATCTCTAAAATGCAAAATGTATTGTTTGCTGAAATTCCCTTATTTGCTTTGTGACTATAGTGTCAATTAAAGGAAACATTATGAAATAGTTCATCAAATTAAGGTTCTATCTGCATTAGTCTATTATTATAAATAAGTAATCTTTGAGATAGACAATATATCCATTTTAACAAGCAATATAAATGTTTACTGTTTTTTCAAAAATGTTAATTTAACTATCCTAACTTAAATAGCATCTCTGTGAAACCCTAGGTTGAATCATTTGGCTGAAATGCCCGATTTTTGTGAAGCTTTGACTTGTTTTCCACTGAAATGACTAACTCAGTCACTTAGGCATTATCAGGACTTAATCTTTAACATACAAGTCAAAATTTAAAACTCCTGCTGATTTTTAGAGAGTGCAATTTACGGGTTAAAAAAGAGGAAATTACGCTCACACCCTCACAGGGAATAGGCATGTGTACTCACTTAAATGGGTAAATTCTTAAGCACACACTGGCCTTGGCATTTGCAGTGCTCTTCACACTACACAGTCCGCAGGTCCAACCACTGCAGTCAGCCCTGAATGTTGGGATGATATAACCACTGCCCTTGGAACAATATGGAAGTGGGCTGGGAGGGACAATGTGTTCTCATCTTCCTATTAGTATTGCCACTTTCCATTAAGATTCCTTTCCCTCTCTTCTTCCCTTTTCCAATATATGGGACACTTACCATATATGCCTCACCATATACACCTGTTAAGTCTCTTTGGGAAAAGTATACCAGGCAATTGGTCTTTTAAAATAGAAATCTTAATGCTTGGGGAAGAAGGCATTCTTAAAGTTTGAAACTAGCGAGCCCCTCATAATAGCTAAAATGGAAATTCTGAGAGAATAAAGAAGGAGGGAAACAGAAGAGAAGAAGATAAGTACTCTCTACTAATTAATAAAGATAAAATGAAACAAAAAATCTTTCTCTGAGTCCAGATGATATGCCCTTAAGGGCTTTTTCCTCCACCTCAGTGATCTGTCAGGCCCCTATATTATGGAAGACAAGAAGTTCTACCTTATTTTCTTCTCATGAGAACAGTAGTTAAAGGAAGATTTGCACTTGGAAAGCAGAATGTCTCCTAGGTCGAATAGTCCCCAGAAACCAGAGGTTTAATTTAATTTTCTAATTTACTATTTCTGAGGAAGAGCCCCAAAAATTTAAGATCTCTATTTTTGAGGAGGATTTTTATGTGATAGTCATTTTTATCCATAATTTTGGCCTGAAAATAATCCTTTTTTAAAATTAAGGAAACCTACTAAAATAAGCTGCATAATTAATTTGATAAAAATGTTCATTTAAGCTCAAGCTAGAAATAAATCTGAGGTATTTGGAATTTAACTGTGATTTTTATAAGGGAAAAGTGTTTATATGAAAACCAAAGAAAAATATTTTGAAAAAAATCATGGTAATGTATTAGGTCTAATGTTACAGCTTCTCAAGAGTCTGATATGAAATCAGTGTTTTTTTCATTGTTTCTTTTTGTTTTTGTTTACTAAAGTAAATTAAAAGCTGCATTGTCCTACATTTCTGGACATGGAAACTTTCAAAAATACATTGTAAATTATGGGTGCTTCCATTCCAAGTATGAGAAAAAGATATACTAGCTTTTCAGAAATATCTTTAGTCCATAAGCCATATATCTAAATAACCATCAGTTGAAGGAAAAAAAGGACTTTTATAAAAACAAAGGTTTCCTTACTATACTAAAGTCAATAATGGATGATCTTACAATGGGATATTATTCCCACTCTATTCAGACATTTTGGCACCAGCCTTTGGTGTAGACTTTTCTAAATATCTGAACCTTGGTTAAGTATAGAGTTTATCCATAAAAGTGTTCCTATCTTTAAAATTGTACAAGCTTGTGAATAAATTCAATTTTATCTGAAAGATGACAAGGAGTCAGTCTTTATTAGTCTAAGTCCCAGTCTTATCTCCTTTTCTTCACTAAATTTCTTTATTCCACCCCTAAGTGTTGTCCATCAGAAGGACTTCTTGTTAGAGAGCAGGTGAAGGAAAGAATAAATTCCTCAGCGTGAGTCTGTAAAATAATTTTTTTAGGACCGTAAAATGGCAGGAATTTGTAATAGAATGTTTTTGGTTATTAGTAATATGGTGTGTATAAATAAAGACAAGATAAAAAAACATTCTGCACACAAGCTTTGGGGCATATGGTTTCATAGCCCTTAAAGCATGCTTCAGCTTCTTACCATTATAAGTGGATTTTTTTTTTTTTGCACATACCATACAACTATAACCTAACCATCTTCTTGTAAACAGTTTGAACACATTACTGAAAAGACTGTGAATGTCATGGGAATACATCTTATAGCTCTACCTAGTATTAGCTGGGCAACAGTCCTTGTAAAGAAATCCAAAGGGTGTAGGCTGGCTAGGTTTTCAAAGCAAAAACAATTTGTTACTATTTACTTCAAATGTGTGCTACTGGTCCCTGAAAATGTATGTTTTTAAATGTTATGTTGTGTTTACTTGCAATTTCAAATTTAATTCATCAGTAGGTATTTGGTATCCATTACAGACCATAGAAGACACTATTTTTTCATAAAGCAGTCACATGCATTGAAGTTAGGATTACCAACTGATATATATGTATTTTTTTGCACCTTAAAAACAGAATCACTATAGTGCATATCATGCTTCCCCACCTTCCTTGCTGAAGGACAAAATGCATAAAGTGCCAGGATTTGGCTCCCAGATGGAAGGAAGCCATTTAGTACTCTGGCAGGATCACATCATTCTGCTGAGCTCCAAATTCCAGAGCAGGGTTTTCTTGCCCTTCTTTGGGGGCTGCTGCTTCCTCAACAGTCTTCAGCTTTTCCTCCACTAGGCCCTCCTCTATTTCTGGGTCAGCCTCCTTTATCCCATCCTCTAATGCCTCGGGCACCATCTTGGTGGCCTCAGCAACATTTATTTCAGCATCTATCACACATCTTATAGCTCTACCTAGTATTAGCTGGGCAACAGTCCTTGTAAAGAAATCCAAAGGGTGTAGGCTGGCTAGGTTTTCAAAGCAAAAACAATTTGTTACTATTTACTTCAAATGTGTGCTACTGGTCCCTGAAAATGTATGTTTTTAAATGTTATGTTGTGTTTACTTGCAATTTCAAATTTAATTCATCAGTAGGTATTTGGTATCCATTACAGACCATAGAAGACACTATTTTTTCATAAAGCAGTCACATGCATTGAAGTTAGGATTACCAACTGATATATATGTATTTTTTTGCACCTTAAAAACAGAATCACTATAGTGCATATCATGCTTCCCCACCTTCCTTGCTGAAGGACAAAATGCATAAAGTGCCAGGATTTGGCTCCCAGATGGAAGGAAGCCATTTAGTACTCTGGCAGGATCACATCATTCTGCTGAGCTCCAAATTCCAGAGCAGGGTTTTCTTGCCCTTCTTTGGGGGCTGCTGCTTCCTCAACAGTCTTCAGCTTTTCCTCCACTAGGCCCTCCTCTATTTCTGGGTCAGCCTCCTTTATCCCATCCTCTAATGCCTCGGGCACCATCTTGGTGGCCTCAGCAACATTTATTTCAGCATCTTTAACTTTCTCTATGGCCTGCACCTTCATCAGCTCAGCCTCTGCCCCCTCAACTGCCACTTGGGCCCCATCTCCTTGAATTTTCACTCCTTCCGGAATAGCTTTAACATCTTCATTGCCATCTTGTGTTGGAGATGGCTCTCGGCTGGCCTTCTGGCTCTCCTGGATGCTGCCATGGCTGCTGCTGGCGCTTCCCAACCGGGAAGAGGCCACCACGGCCTTTACTGCTGCCTGATGGGAAACAGAAAAGTGTCAGGTGTTACTTTCACTTAAAATCCCAAATCAGAGCTCAATTTCAATTTTGCATTTAGGGAGTTTGTTATTATATGTTAGTGTTTAATCTTTGAAAGTATATTATTCCAAGATTGTCTAATGAAAACTTGTTCGGAGAATGAACAGCAAAATATGTTTAATCTCAAATTAGCGTATTTAATCATCTGGACAACCAAAAACCTGAGTAAATGCATTTTCCCATGGATTACCAATATTCAAAAATTTCAGATTGTGTTTCCCAAAGTATTTGTTTCATGGGACACTAGTTCCATGGATGTTAGTAGGCACTATCTAGATAAAAGAGTTCCACAGTCAACTTTGTTTGAGAAATCCCTGGTTAAGTCAAGGTTGTTGAATGTAGTGTATTTCAAATTAATATGACCATGGACCCTTCAGGTTTATTTAGTCTGTATCAGCCTGTAAGCGACTGCTGAATAGAGCACTGTTTTTGACCCCCTGCTGTCCTCTGAGATCCCCTGTATGTACAGCTAGTCCTAAATACCATTAAGTAAGAGAAAAGCACCTAATTTCTACTCCATATACATTCTATAAAAAGAGATATGTTTTGGTAGATAATTTCCCCTATCACTTGAATTATTTTAATTTTTACCAAGTATAACTATTTGCTTATGTACTAAAGCATAGTTTAAAAAATTTTTTTCCCAATTTTTCCATATTCAGAAAGTAGACAACTCTCTGAGTAAATGTTTCCTGAACGATGCTGTTCAAGCAGTTCAGCCTTAATTAAATGAGAAGCAATGATAATGGATTTGTTTGGTGAGTAAAGCTCAACATACAACACATTTCCCTTTATTAACAATGAATTCTGGGAATTCCCTGGCAGTCCAGTGGTTAAGACTCAGCGCTTTCACTAAGATCCCACAAGCCGAGTGGCACGGTGCCCCCCACTCCAAAAAAAACCCAAAAAACAAAAAAACCCACAATGAATTCTTATGAGAGGATAACAGAACTACAATTGGCTTTATACCAGCACTGTTGGGATTTCAAAGCAGGATTTTTCCTGGTACCACAGGAGATGAATAATAGTATTAGATAAATAATAGTGGAATTATCTTTGATCATCAAGATATGAGAGAAATCTATTTTTTTAAAAATAAAACAAATAAATGCCATCTAACCTTGAGCTTGCGCCGGGCATTGAATTCTTGGAGCTTCTTTTGAGCTGTATCCATGTGTACAAAATTGGCTGCTTTACCTGTGACCCACGGGTGCTGGAGGGCTTGGAAGGTAGTCAGCCTTTTCTTAGGATCCAACACAATTAATTTTCTGACCTGAAATGATAAAGAGCCATAGTCTTCTTAGGGAGATATTTACGGTGACCTGGGCTTGCCCCTCAGCTTGTGAACTTATAGGTCTTATTTAATTTCCTTGGCAGTACACTGAATATACATTAAACAATTTTTTTAAGTCCCCAGAGGTTACTGTAGAGATGGCTTCAGGTAGCAGTAGCTGAGGAATCTGAGAGTGGTGTGCGTAGGCTACCTGAAAGCCCAAACTGGTGGATAGCTTGCCCACGGAGGTCAAAGAAACAAGTCCTGCCTTGCCTGTAGACTGGAAGTTCTTTGTTTTTGTTTTTGCGGTACGCGGGCCTCTCACTGTTGTGGCCTCTTCCGTTGCGGAGCACAGGCTCCGGACGCGCAGGCTCAGCGGCCATGGCTCACGGGCCCAGCCGCTCCGCGGCATGTGGGATCTTCCTAGACCGGGGCACGAACCTGTGTCCCCTGCATCGGCAGGCGGACTGTCAACCACTGCGCCACCAGGGAAGCCCTAGACTGGAAGTTCTTTGAATGAGAACCAGCATCTGAATAATTCTCGGCCATACTTCACATCACTTAGAATTCAGAGCTTAAAATATACATCAATGGAGACGGGCATCGTTCATACATCCATCATTCTTTCTAGGGGAATTGAATGGCAAACAATAGGGGCAGTATCATAGCCCTTATGATTATACCATGAGTCTATCATGAAGTTAATAGCTCTCTCTAATCCCTTGAGGGTACTTGAAGGAATAAGCCAAGAGCTGGGGTAAAAGCCTATTTAGAATCAAAGTAAAGGTGTCAGTAGCTTGTGGGTATGATTTGTTTACAGGACTGAATTCAAACCAATGGTAGCCTATTCTGGGAGGTTTACCCCTGCTTGTGAGGATGAGCAGACAATAAATTGCCAGGAAGATCAACAACCAAAATAATCCCCAGCCCTAGGCTCAGAAGGGGTGACCTGGAATGAGGCAGAGACTATTTGGAGTCAGGAAGCATGTTCAAGTCCTAACTTACTCAAAGCCTCTAACTACTTTTGTGACCTTAGACAAAGACCACATGTGAATTGGGTGACTACGGACACCCTCCTGGGCCCTTTCTTACATGACCTCATTTCCACCCTGATTCCTTTGTATCAATAAATACATTCTTATAGACATATAACATTTAAAAAAAAAACCCAAAACTCATGTAACCCTGTCCATAACCTTATCAATTAGTAACTATTAGCTCCAATTCATAAATGAGGGATGGAAGGAAGCTCAGAAAGATTTAGTGACTTGTGTAAGGTCAGACAACTCGTAACTGGTGGGGGCTATACTCAAACTCGGGTCTTAGAGTTTGTCTCATGGCCACTACACCATAGTGCCTCCAAGCTTGTCAGCCTCTCTGGGTTTCAGTCTGCCAATATGTAAAATGAGGGGCTTTGGATGCTTTAAGGCATAAGATCTTTTCTAACTCTAATAACCTAAGAACTGAACACAGGCTAACAAAATCAGGCAGCTAGTCAAATGAAGAATGAATATCCGGTTCTCCTTTCACTTCCTTTTTGTAGCATTTGCAAAGAAATGTGTGTGTGGGGTAGAGACACTGAAGGGCAGAGACGTGAGACTGCTTAGTCTTAAAATCAGAGAGGAGGTGGAGGGAGATAAAGATAATTAAGAAAAAGAATGCACAGTAGTCATACAAATTTGCTAGTAGTCAGAGCTATCATCTGTTGAACACATATACTAATAACTTTATGTCAATGACACCTAATCCTTACACCATCCCTGACAGACATTTCCCTCGCATTTTCTAATCATCCGTTTCCTCTTATCATCACCATCCTCCTCCTCATGAAAATACAAAGAATTTACTGAAAGCCAGTATGTACCAAAATTTTATATATGTCATCATTAATCTTTACATTTGAAGATACTGACGCACCGAATTATTAAGAAACTTGCTGAAGATTAGAGAGATCCAGTGACCTTGTCAGGATTCTAACCCAAAGCCTTGCCATTATCCTACGGTTACTCTTAATAGCCCAACTCCCCACTCATCGGCACCATAGCCTCTGCTCATGACAGAACAGATGCAGGTTTTGCTAAGTACACATTATGAGGCTCAATGATTGCTTTAGTTCTCAAGTTTTATAAATTTATTAACCAACAGGAGGTCTAGCTGAATGAAGGAACATCACAGCTAACCCTCTTATCCATTTAATTTTTATGAGAGATAAAAAGAAATGGAAGGAAGACTAAATAATGAGGTTATTATTGAGTTAGTTGGTGGTGATTACTTAGTATGTATTATATCCCTTAATTCTTCTAAAGACCTAGAGACAGGTACTGGTATCATCTCAGAGAAGAAAACTAAAGCACAGAGAGGTTAGGCTAGCCCAAGGTCATATCTGTAAATTATAAGAAGGGGGGTCACTTGAATCCAGGCATGTCAGATTTTAAGAATCCTTGGTCTGTTTCCTGATTCATGGTTTCATTCAACAAATATTTATTGAGCCTGTACTTTATGTCCATATGGTACTAAGATCTGGGCACACATGCTTCACCCTCTCCCAGAGCTTACAATCTAATTAAGGAACACCTTTGAGCAAGTATATAGAAATGATGACCATCATGAAAAAGGAAGTCTAGGGGGCAGAGGAACAAGTGGCAGAAGGAATGAACCAATTGTGAGAAGAATGGCCTGCTGAAGACAAAATCTCCCAGAGAATGCCAAATGGCAGCCAGGGCTTGAAGATTAGAGTTACCCATGTAAAGAGGTGTGTATGTGTATGTAATGGTGGAGAGGAAGGAGGAAAGAACATCACAAAGCAGAAGGAAGAGCAACATACCCAGAGCTACATTGATGAGGGACTGGAAGTCTAGTGCTCTGGAGGAAAGAGAGATCAAGGGAGAGTGATGTGAAATAAGTGGCACAAGAGAGGGTGACACTTATTTATAAAACCATTCCTCTGGATCCTGTGTGGAGAGTGTACTTGAGAAGAGCACAAGAAGAGGCAAGGAAAAAAAAAAAAAAAAAAAGAAGAGGCAAGGAGACCACATAGGAGGTTGTGGCCGTGAACCAGGAGAGGATGGGGCTTGGACTAGGCAGTTGTACTGGAGGTGGAGAGAAGTGGACGGATTCAAGAGATGTTTAGGAGTGTGGGCCCTGACGTGAGGGAGGAGTTGGGATGACACATTCCCACATCACACACACGGCCTCTCTTTCACAACCATGTTGGAAAATCCGTGACCTGTAGGATATCTGTTTTCATGAAAGAACACAGATGGTAAGGAGGGAAAAGAGCACTGGATAAGGGGTCTGGAAATCTGGATCCTTAGTTCCTAACAACGCCTTTCTGCTGAGAAGCTGTGTGAACTTGGACAGTCATTTCACTTCTCTGGGCTTTAGCAAACTTATCTTTAAAATGCAGGGAAGATTAGATGACTCCTAAGATCCCTTGGAGATCTAACCTTCTATGATTCAGAAGTTCGCTTTTAGTTATTTCTGCACAATTTCTCTCTAGAGGATTGATGGTAAATGTTTCAATTACACCCTAGTATCCTCTTTATTTTACAACAGGTGGGCCATCTCCCTAGAGGGTATGTGTTTCCTGAATGCAAACAAACTTCAATGTTACCTGAAGTGAGAAGCCAAGTAAAACAAACAAAAAAACAAACAAAACGTATAGTGTAACTTGTATAATGATAATCATGCATGATGGGACTTGTGTTACTATCAGGATATTTTAATAAGATTGAACATTTCAAGAAGCAATGTTGTTTTATTCAAAGTATAACTAATCTAGGTGATAGCAAGCCATTTTAAAACAGAATTCTTCTGTGTAAATTATGTTTGGATTCACTCAGCACAGCTATCTTCATAAGCAAGGTTCTGCATTGACTAGATGGTAAAAACTCATTAATTAATATGCCATAATTTGTAATAATTCAGCTAGAGATGAATCAAACGTATCTTTTTTCATTATCTATAAGGAAAATGCATTAGTGTGCATTGTTTCATTAAAAATACTTTATAATTAAAAAGAAATAAGCTATTAAGAGGGGTTGATTTAAAAAATGGCACTGCCCATTAATTAGATAAAAATGAATGCAAGGAATTTTATTTCATTTTGTTTCATTTTGTTTGGTCACACTTACCAAATCCTTGGCATTTAGAGATACTTCATCCCACCAGGGGGAGATAAAGTAATATTCACAGTTCAGAATTCTCCTAAACATGAACTGATCGCCTCTTTCATCATAGAATGGTTCAAATCCACAAAGTCTAGAGGGACAAAAGATAGAGAATAAAATGTCTTTTAAAAGCCTAAGCATATTTCACCAATTTTTTGCAGAAATTCAAGACTGTCCTTTTTCACAGCTTACTGTTATGAATGTAATCGCTCAGTTTAAGTATGTAATCACCTTCTTACAATTCACTTTTGATTATATAAACACACAGTCATGTCTTCAGGAAGTAAGAATAGATACAAAACCAATTTAAGATTTCTACAAAAAGTTATAATCATATTAATAATTATGACACAAACAACAATAATAATAGCTAACACTATTATAGGCATTATGCTATAGTGCTATTTCCATGGATATTTTTGCGGTACGCGGGCCTCTCACTGTTGTGGCCTCTCCTGTTGCACAGCACAGGCTCCGGATGCACAGGCTCAGCGGCCATGGCTCACGGGCCCAGCCGCTCCACGGCATGTGGGATCTTCCCGACCGGGGCATGAACCCGTGTCCCCTGCATCGGCAGGCGGACTCTCAACCCCTGCGCCACCAGGGAAGCCCTCCATGGATTTTTTTCCACCAGGAATTGAGAAGACAGATTGATTAGAATTCCAATTGATTACAAAACAGAAAAGTTAGGATTTTGAGAATAAAAAGGTTAAAAGGTGGAAAGAAAAGTTTTTAGTTGTTTTTATTCAGCCCTTTTCACTTGAATTCTTCCATAGAGATGAATAAAATATTCGATTTCCATCCCATTCCAGTTTGGATTTCAGAGTGAACAAACACAAGAGCTAACACTATTGTCAGGGAATGGCCTTTTAAAACTTACTACAGTGAGCAGCTGCAGCCAGCAGAGGTGAGCAGCCTAGCGTTAGCTCAACCTGGTAAGGACCCTCACTTTTGCACATCTTAAAGACATCTCACTATGTTCACCTTCATCTTCCGTCACGGGTCAGCATAAAAATGTATGAGAAAAGTGGGAGAAAAGAAACAGAGAACCATCTCTGGCATCCTAAAGAGAGGGAGGAAAAGTGAGTTGCTGGTCTGGGACCACCAAGCCTCTACTGTTTATAGGTGGGTGGAGGTACTGAAATCACTAAAGACCAAACGGGAACTATTTTTTAAAAGTCCCTGCTAGGGCATGTGTTGCATCTGACAAGGAATGAAGGAAAAAGAATGAAAAACATTTCCCCAAATTCTTCCTTCAAACTGGCCAGGTTGGTGCCGAGAATGAAACATTCCAGTGCATCCTAATGTAGTGAGTTTCTAGGAAGAAGCAATTTCTCATGTTCTTTTGCTCAGGGAATGTCCTGTTGGGAGAGTCTTTGTTTCTTTCAAATATTGTGGAGCCAGCCAGGAAAAGGCAAGGCTCAGGGAGTGCTGAGGCCTGGGCTGTGCATCCTCCCTCTCCCACTGAAGAAGTCCACGCAGAGAATACTGCTCCAGCAAAAGGAGAGAAGGGAGCACAGGTCCACACGTTGCCAAGGAGGCAGTTCATCCTCACCTGGCCCTCCTCTGCCCTCCAAAACACTAGAAAAACACAGCCTGTTGTTGGCTAGTCATGGAGAAATTGGTCAACTTTCCAGGCTTAGTTTAGGGAACTCTTAATGTTTCCCCTTCTGGAAATCTAGAGAGAAAAATGATAGTTCAGAAGGTACAGTACTCAAATGCCTTTCTTTCCTCTCAGTCATGTCAGCAAGTCTGTGCATTGGTAACAGAGGTAAAAAGTTTATCTCACCAGCCTGAAATGTCAAAAATGGAAGAAATGTGACAGAGAGCAGCACGCATGTGTGCATGAGCACACAGACACACACACAGAGTAAGAAAACCCTTTAGAAATGGAAATATTTGAATGCTGACATTGACAGTTTAGGAGGATATTAGGATTATAAAGCCTGAAGTGTGACTGTATTACACAGGGTAGCTCCAAGCCATTGAGCAGAACTGTAGTGTTGAAAGCCGAAGGACAGAATTTGAATCTCTGATGTTATCTGATTCTGATTTTGACCTGAGAACTGTAATAGTTGCTTTTGTCTGTGGGGACAAAGGGTTTTGGTTTAACGCTTTAAAACAAAGAGAGGGACCAGAATTCTTGTAAGAAACAAAATGGCCTTTATTTCCAGGCTACTGTCATCCTTAGAAATAGCAAGGTCATAGCACAAAATAGCCTGGTGGAACTCTTAATAATAATAAAGGAGGTACATAAGCCCAATGGCACAATCCACTGGAGAGAATGGTCCAATGAATCTTGCGTAGTGGACTTCATCAATTATTAATGAACTACAGATTAAATAAAAAGTCCCTAGGCTTAGGGGCTGACATAAGTTGGATCAGAACTAAAGGATATCAGGGGCTTCCCTGGTGGCACAGTGGTTAAGAATCCACCTGCCAATGCAGGGGACACAGGTTCGAGCCCTGGTCCGGGAAGATCCCACATGCCATGGAGCAACTAAGCCCGTGCGCCACAACTACTGAGCCTGCGCTCAAGAGCCTGAGAGCCACAACTACTGAAGCCTGCGCGCCTAGAGCCTGTGCTCCACAACAAGAGAAGCCACCGCAATGAGAAGCCCGGGCACCGGAACGAAGAGTAGCCCCCACTCGCCACAACCAGAGAAAGCCTGTGTGCAGCAACAAAGACCCAACGCAGCCAAAAATAAATAAATAAATTTATTTTTTTTTAAAAAAAGAACTAAAGGATATTAGTTATGAGCAGCACTGTTATTTTAATTTTGGGGGCTGCTACCACTTATTCAACCAACACCTATAATTAATGGCCTTAAGTGAACTAGAGGAAAGAAACGAGAGATTTAAAAAATTATTTTCAGGGTTACAATAAGACGTTTCTCAAATGGCCCCAATTTTTTCTCTTCATTTTCCCATGTTAGTGACCATATCATGGAGTTTTACTCATCCCATATTTCAGTTTTTCAAGGCAAATGTTACTAAATTTCCTACCTCCATCTCTGAGTTCTTACACATCCTCAATGCTTCAACCTCTCCCATCACATTTCAACATGAAACTCTAATTGGGTGGGCACATTTACATTTTAGGGGCAAATCTGGAGCATCATTTGTAGTTCAGTTTTTCACTTAACATCACTAAGTATGATATGTCACCCACATAATTCAGGAGACAACATTCTTTCACAGCATAAAAGCGATCTCAAATGTAAGCTGAAGGGATTCTATGATGCGGCCTTAGGAATTCATTTTAATGAACTAACAAGCACTTGGTGTGGCAAACAAATTACCTAAAAGTTTTCACTTTCCTAAGAAAAAACATGGTTCCCTAGCTCTCCAAATTCTTCTTAAGCTTTAATACATCCTGGAAACACAGGGAATTGATCACTGAAAATATCTTTTGACATTACATAATAGCAGATGGCTATTTTATGGGTTGCTTTTAAACATTTTTATGGTTCTTACTGACCAATATATCAATATAAACCCAGGTGAACTTAGAGTTTGCTAACTTGCTTGTGGGTTCTACCCTAGTTACCCTCTTCCTAGCCCATGTTACCTAGACACCACACTTTCTAAGATCACTATTAAATTAACCAAGCCAAATCAAACCAACCTCTTCCTACTATGGACTGAATTGTGTTCCCCCCAAATTAATATATTGAAGCCCTAACCCCCAACGTGATGGTATTTGGAGATGGCGCCTTTGGCAGGTAACAGAGTTAGATGAGGTCATGAGGGTAGGACCTCATGATGGGATCAGTGCCCTTATAAGAAGAGACACCAGAGAGCTTGCTTCCTCTTTCTGCCTTGCAAGGATACAGTGAAAAGGCAGCTATCTGCAAGCCAGAAGACAGCTCTCACCAGAACCTGACCTACTGGCACCCTGACCTCAGGCTTTCAACCTCCAGAACTACAATTCTGTTGTTTAAGCCACTGAGTCTATGGTATTTTGTTATAGCAGCCTGAGCTAATTTGCTTTCTTCCCCACCCTTCAAAATCTCTTTACAGATTTGAATATTACAGGTTCCAACAATTAACTCTGCAGTATCCTCTAATTGAAAACCAAATCTACTTGGTTTGAATTAAACTTTGGAACTCACTGGTATCTTGCTTTTGTAGTTGTTCTACAACAGCCTTCCTCCCCAGATACTCTTCCATTGTTCTCGATTATTTCCCTTGTATTTGTCTGCAATTCCATCACCTCTTTGGCAAACTGAAACCCCATGTTTATTAGTGGACAGGAGCTCAGGAATGGAGTTGGGGATACCAGAGAGTGAGAGATTTAGCCCCCCCCCCTTTTTTTTTTCTCCCAGAGAACAGGTTTCTCTGAGTTTAGGGTATTAAACTAAAGGTCCTTGAGAACTTAACAGATATAGGAACCAAAACTGATAGCCCAAATGCATTTAAAACATTCCTGATAAGAAACGTACCAGTTTGGGATTGCTTCAGAGATTAAACTGCCATTTGCCCCTTCAAAAGGAATAATACTCTAATCATTTGGACAAGATGCACATAAACAAAATAAGTGCAAGTTTAATAGGTGGATTTGTTTCATGCTCATTACTATCATCAAACAATGAATTGTTTCCCAAATCTGCTATACACTGCATAGCAGAATGAGACACAGCAAAGCCCTAGACAGAAGTTCTGGCCCCAAGAAAATGACAAAATAAAAAGCAATGCTCATTTTCCGAAAATTCCATCAGTAACTACACTTAGTATGTCATAGGAAACCACAAAAAGTCAAAAAGGAATCTTGTTTTTTATGAGGACTATGAGTAACTAGAAAATATTACAGCAAAGGCCAACAGTATGCTTAGAGATTGCTTTTCTTCACTTACAAGATGTAGGTGATTATTCCTACAGACCACATGTCCACCTCAGGTCCATAGGCACAGCCTCTAAGAATTTCAGGTGCTGCAGAAAGAGTGAAAACTGTATTAAATTACAGTTTAAATTCAGTTTAAATACAGTTTAAATTTAAATTTTAATAACAAGCAATAGGGAAGAAATGAATTCATCAACAGAAACTTCAGAACAGTTTTATAACCAATCTTCTCTCCCCAAACCAAAGTATGAGTCTACAAATTCTTACCTCTATTTTAGTGGGAGATATTATATATAGTCTCTCTGTGTTTGGGGTGCATAAAAATAAAGTTATTAAATGTAATATTCTACATCAGAACATCATGATACTGCTCAAATCAGATAGAGCTATATTTCTGCTACAAAGGGAGCTGTGTACATAGAAAAGAAATGAAAGTTTAGCATAGTAAGGGGAAAAAGGCACAATCATGCCGCCTGGGGTGTCCACGAGTGTGTGTGTGTTTGACAACGCGCAGGGCAGGGAGCAGGGCAGACAGTGAGAGGACTGGAAAGTCTCTAGTACTGGAAAGTTGGAACAGGAGCTAGGAGGGGCCCCGGCACATGTCTTGGTGCTGAGAACTACACATACGTCCTCAGAGAGCAGCTGTCCACAGTCAGTTTGGGATTATGAACTGAGAAAGGAGGCTTCCCTGTGCACAAGGAGGCTGCTCCTATCAGCCCTGCCCACCATTGTGAAAATGGAAGGTCTTCTCAGCCATTAAACAGCCTGGCCCGGTAGTATAGAATAGTGAGATCTTCCATGATTTTATTACCTTAGAGCCGTGAAAATGGAGAGCTAACTGGGTCTAACTGTTTGCCCTGAGGATTGGAGGTGTTGTTTGTTTGCCTAACTAACAAAGGAAGAAAAGAAGTGAGAGCTCTACCCTCTAAGTAGAAATAGGGCTCAGGTTTAGAGCCCAGAGTAGCCCCTTTCTATTTTGAACAAAAGTGCTGTCTGTAGGTGTCAGCAGGGCCCCTGAGGAAGGAGCTGATTGATGAATGCTGAGGGGTCCTTAAGGGAGGCCTTGGGGACAGGGGCACCACACTTCTCCTTCCCTCAGTGGGGTAGGAGAGCAGGATCCCTTGTCCATGCAGCCTGGGAATGTCAATATTGGTGGAGATTGTCAAAGTGAGCTCCTAAAGGAAGCTGGTCTCATGGGACTCTGAATTTAATTTACAGGAAGGAACACAGCAGATTTTCCACTGATGTCTTCCCATTCTATCCCCTTCTCTCCATCCTTTTCCAACCAGAATATTCTCTTCATATTTTATGTAGAAACTGTGTTACATAAAATATAGGAGATGAAGAGCCTGTGTAATGATGGTGTGCATTCTAGCACTCTGAGAAGCAATTCAGCAAGATGCACCCTTTGAGGAACTGGATCTGGGGCCAAGAAGTTTTTCTCATCTATGAGCAAATTATTCCTAGAATATTTTCCTTTTAAGATTTAATTAAGATAATTAAGAAAAATGCACGCTCAAAGCCAACACCATTCTCTCTGTCAGGTTGGCTTCCGTTTCTAGAGCCATCTGTACCCACAGACAGTTCCTTTGGGCCGCAGCAGCCCCCGCACTGAACTCCCACTCGAAAATGATTTGCTCATCATAGTGCAAAGGGAACTGAGGTTCGGCTGCCACTTTCAGAATGGCTGCTACTGTCAGGGAGCTGAACACATGCATATTTGGCATGCACAGTTAGTACCATGTGCCCTTCCCCACTCCAGGTATCCACATCCGTGAAGCGTTATCAAGTCTCACACTGACATTTCAACATAAACACAGAGATATGTTGGGGACAGTCTTATATTTCCTGGGTCTTGGTTTTTACCTCTAGTAAATGAATTGAACTAGCTAATTTCCAAGTTTACTTTGAGTTTTAGCCGCTGTGATGTACGTAAAGGGATAGTTATTAGAGTTTAAGCAAGAAGAGAGGACAAGCACTCCTGCTACAGAACCTGCTGAAATCCCATCCCTCCCACCGGAGCGCCTACTGTGTCTGCTGCCCTGCAAGCACCTATCCTGTCAGGTCCAGTGAAATCAAACCTCCCGTCCTGTGCTGTGCAGAGGTCAGCACGCTGTCTCGAAGGTCAGGTGCTCTCTCAGGCCATCCTCCATAGCTCCCAGGCCAAGGGCCCCAAACGAAGTGAATACTATGGAACAAAAGCCTTTCTGAATCCACTTTAGAGGGCATCTGGGTTTCTTACCTGATATGGCAATATCTGATCTCCCTTCACAGCACTGGGTGCAACCTTACTCTCCAGAGGCAATTTATTTCCTTGTAAGACCTTATGCTGCAATGTGAGTAAACTGGTGGTGTGAAAAGCTAGACTTTCCATAGGGAGGTTAACTGAGATGAAAGGAATATAGAACGTTTTCCCCCTCCATAATAAATTCCTCTTAGAAAGAATTTTTTAAATGAATTTATCCTATTGAATATTTACTAATCCTAATATAAAATTTGGGTGAAACATGCCTAAATTCCTAGACACAACTAGATACCAATTCACAGTAACCTTTAAATATTTTCACTCATTAGTTAATATGACCTTGACTTCAGAACCAGCAGAACACATCCTTGTAATCTATCTGAACCCTTTCCAAGAGCCAAAAGCTTTTCTAGAATACATTTCAGACGCTGGCACGCCAGCGCTTCAAGTCTCCTAGGTATCAAATGTCCTTGAAGGTAATTCTACAGAATTGTGATTTTCTTAGAGTGAGAAATAGTTGACTACTTCCAGTTCAGTTCAAGAAAAGGCATCAACTAGTGCAGCTATTAATGCTATAAGCACTTCTGGATGTCCTTCATATATTTTCTTACCTCATTGCCAAAACAAACAAACAAGCAAATGCGAAATGGGGGATAAAACATTTCAAGGTGTAATACAGTTTTTAAAAATGTATTGTAAGTGATTTAGAACCATCTTTTCAGAAATAGTCAGTAGTCATTTATTGATTTTCCTGGCTGTCTTCTAAGTAGATCCAAGTTTTCTGCCACTTCCTAAAGTTATCTTATCATTTATGTTATTGCTCATTAAACACTAAATGCTACAGAACTCCCAGGACACTTCACACTCCAATATCTAGCAATTGAAGGTACATATAAAGATTGGAATGAATTACGTTTTATTAAATAAAATCACTGTAACTGAAAATGGTTCTAAGATAAGAAGTATCAGGTATAGCCTGTGACACACTGATTGGTGCTAGGTTTTCCCTCTTTTCCTAAAGTCCTAGGAGAAGAATAGAGGGATAATTTAGTTCACTTCATTTTGTCAACGCCTTAGATGAGCTTTATGATCCCTTCCTACCTATGGAGTTAAAACTACAGAGTGGCATTCGTTATCAGAAGACTTTTTCAAACTACTGTTAACTGTTTTGAGACAAATCCAAGGGAGACTAAGGTGAATGAAATCAACAGGTTCATTCACTCACTCATTTAATAATTTAATTTGTAATAAATTTAATAAATTAATATATCATGAACTATTTGTTAAGCACATGCTGTATGACAGATACTGTTGGGTGGTGCTGGGGAATAATGGGGAGTTACAGAGAACAAGTCTCCATCATCACGGAGCTTACAGTTTGGTGGGGGAGGTAGATGCTGATCAAGAAAACCATACGGGGACTTCCCTGGTGGTCTAGTGGTTAAGACTCTGCGCTCCCAATGCAGGGGGCCGGGGTTCCACCCCTGGTCAGGGAACTAGATCCTGCAAGCTTCAACGAAGATGCCTGCGTGCTGCAACTAAGACCTGGCACGGCCAAATAACTAAATAAATAATTTTTCTAAAGTATCCTTTAAAAAAAAAAAAAAGAAGAAGAAAGAAAACCATACGAAGAAACGTAAAGTGGTAACCGGAAGCGCTTGGAGGAAGAGTGGCTCCAATAGAGGGCTGACCTGGTCAGAAAGATGGAGAAATGTGATCAGAGAAAGCAAAGTTTAAACAGATGTAAAAGATCTAGAGAAGTTAACTAGGCAGGGGGAGAGGTAGTGGTTGAAAGAGACAGAAGAGGGTTCGGATGGAGAAAGCACACGTAAAGGGACCTTGCGGCAAGAAGGAACAAGCAGCCCTTAGGGAACCGGAGCAGTCAGTGTGGGTGGAGCGTAGCCGGTGTGCGAGGCCCAGGTTCATCCAGCGCCTGGGAGGCAGGTCCAGGCCAGACTGCAGATTCCACTAGTTCAGGGGTTTTTTTGTTCGTTTGTTTTTAAATTCTCTCCTACATTTTCATTTTAACCATTCAAAACATATGGGAAATATAGCCAATATTTTATAATAACTATAAATGGAGTATAAACTGTAAAAATTTTGAATCACTATTTTGTACACCTGAAACTAATATAATATTGTCAATCAACTCTACCTCAATTGCAAAATGGAAAAAAAAATCTATTTTCATCTTAAGGCCTGAATCTGACTTTACAAAACTACTCCCCCGCCCACCACAGCTGAGGGAAAAAACACTGTGGAGCTTTCACTGTAGAGGCTTATCTTGAATTCATAGTTTTCTGGGGGCCACAAAAATCCATGGCATCTTTAGCACAGCGTCTAGAAGTCTCTCTAAGCTTTGCCTCTGGGGAGTGAGCAGTTTGGAAGGAGGAAGGAGAGGGATTTATCTGCCAGAAGCAGAAGAGCAGTGTTTGGAAATTCTCTGCTTCTTCCCGGTTCCTAACTTGGCCTGGGAACCGGGAGGAGAATGCCTTCAGGGTAGCGTCCTATAGGTGGCAGCAAGTGCCCACAGCCGGGCAGACTCCAAACTTGTGCTTTTCTTAGCATCTGTACCATGTGTGGTCCTTTGTGACGGTGTCACATACATTTGGCAAGAATGAGGCACAACCTTTTTAACATTGTCAAGTGCAATTTTTGCTTTGACAACAGAGAAGCCAGGCGATGTCCCAGTGCTACATGTTATAACAAAGGTATGGAATGGATCAGACTGTGATACAGTTGAGATGCTTCCAGAGGGGGTTGCCTCTGGCTAGGAGCAGCCTTGTCACTTTACTACAGTGAATCTCAGAATACTATCAATTCTTGCATGTCATGCTGTGGAAG